ACAGTGGAGCTCAACCCCAACAACCTGTCCCTCCAGAAAAATGGGCCAGACCCAATGTCAACTAGGGGAGGCCGTGTGGCCCAGTGGCCCAGACACAGGCTCGGAGTCAGTCAAACCTGGGTCCAAATTCTGGCACAAGCTGTGACTTTGGGTGAGTTACAGGACTTTCCAGCATCCTCATAATAACCCAGAAGTAACAGCACTTGCCCTTGAGAGTGTGGTGAGGCTCCCCTGAGATTCCCCTTTCAGATATTTCCCTGACACTCCCCCACCCCCATCTGCACAGCTTGCCACACCACAGGTAAAGCACATACAGATAAAGCACAAACTGCCTAGAAGCTTGGGCCCTGTCTGAGCAAACATTAGGCTCCAGATCTCTAAGGTGCACAAGACAGCAGTCCACTGGAGGGCAAGGAACTTGTTAGAACTCTCTTTCATCCTCATTTTTAGTTATCCTTTTGAGTTTTGTTTTTACTTTTGTTTTATAATAACCATAATAGAATTGTGCAAGTGCATGATTTATGCATAAATAAAAGTACAAATATTAGGGTGTGTCCTCAAAAATATCTCATGGGTCTATGATCCAAGTGATTTGGAGACAACTGCCACAAGATGCCTTTAGATGACAGGTGGACGGGCATTTAAAAGATTCTAAGAGTTTAATAGTTTATATTTATTGTAATGAATACTAGAAAAACAATCATGACCATCACAGTCTATAATTTCACAGTGATACCATCTCAGTTTGAGCTGCGATTACAAAACATCATCAACTGGGTGGCTTATTAATAACACAAATTTATTTCTCACAGTTCTGGAGTCCAGAAGTCTGAGATCAGGGCCTGGTCAGGCTCTGGTAAGAGACCTCTTCCTGATTGTGGACTGCCCACTTCTCATCATAGACTCTTGTAGTGAAAGAGAGGGAGTTCTCGGGGGTCCCTTTTATGGGATCACTGGTCCCATTCATGAGGGGGTTCACCCTCATAATCCAATCACCTCCCAAAGGCCCCACCTCCTAATACCAGCAACATAAGAATTTTGGAGGAATACAAACATTCAGTCTGTAATAGATACATAGACTCTCTTAGAAACAAATTTATTGGGATCCCTGGGTGGCGCAGCGGTTTGGCGCCTGCCTTTGGCCCAGGGCGCGATCCTGGAGACCCGGGATCGAATCCCACATTGGGCTCCCGGTGCATGAAGCCTGCTTCTCCCTCTGCCTATGTCTCTGCCTCTCTCTCTTTCTCTCTCTGTGACTATCATAAATAAATAAAAATTAAAAAAAAATTAAAAAAAAAGAAACAAATTTATTGAAGGGAAAAAAATCAATTGCTCTAAAGAAAATATTAAGTAAATGATAGTACACATGGTATTCAGATATGGCGAAAAAATGAGAATAGATAGGGTCCTCAGAGTTTGAGAAATACCACACTAGACTGTGAGTTCTTTATAGTCATATATAGCTTGTCATATAGGCCATACAATCATATGTAGCCCTCTCCTTGCTTCTTAGCCTCCGTGAACTGCCTTTAGGGGCAGCCAATGCTGAACAAATGAATAAGCAAATCAACCAATGACAACTTGGTCACTTGGAACCTGAGCCTCTCTTTTGAAAATTCCGTTTGTAGGACTTTTTCTGATGAATCAACTTACTCGGCATTCATTTTTACACATTTTAGAAAAAAAAAATTGCTAAAGAAATCAATTCCTTTAAACCATACAGAGCTTGTTTGTTTTTAAGATTTTATTTATTTATTCATGAGAGACCCACAGAGAGAGGCAGAGACATAGGCAGAGGGAGAAGCAGGCTCCCTGTGAGGAGCCTGATGAGGGTCTCATTCCCAGGACCTAGGGATCACAACCTGAACAGAACAAAGGCAGACACTCAACCACTGAGCTACTCAGGTACCCCACAGAGCTTGTTTTGGAATTAGCTGCCTGTGTCTCTTTTTCAGGGCCTCTCCCTCATCACCAAGTTCAGACACTCATAGCAGGATGCAAAGTGTCCCCTCATCCCGTGTGGCTCCTAGTTAGCCTGGAGGCTGGGTCCTGCCAATGGTCTGAGACAACACTTTGTGACATGTATTTCCCCAAGGGGTTACCTTGTAGGGATATCATGACTAGAAGAGACTAGTTGATACTCTGGGCAGGTCCTGGATGAACAAGTGCCAGAAATTTTTCATCAATAAGTTGCCAGCCCTCAGCTCCACCTTTCCATCAGATTTCATCTTATTAAACAACAGAGCCACAGAATTTTAAAAAGGACGAAGCCTGCAATGTTTCCCACAACAAACCTTCTGGAAGCAAGTTCCACTAAAACCGAGGAAAAGGAGAAACACAGATTTGATGATTATAGGCCAAAACCACCACCTTCGGCTTCACCAGTGTTTGTCAGGTGGCCTTTTGTTTCTTGAATTATATATCTATACGGGTTGTCTACTGTCGATATTTAATGAATGACAAAAAAAAAGAAGTTCCTGGCATGATGCTTTCAATCCACATATCACGAGTGTTCTCTTTCCTTATTGATGAGAAGCTTTGTTTTGAAGTTTTGAGCTAAGCATTTTGAATGAACTGACGCATTTCAGGACTTATCCATCACAGAAATCAAGGATGGGCATGTGTGCTCATTGTAAAAATTCAAACATAACACATATGGGTGACTTAGAAAGTGAGAGTTTAGTTCCCCTATGGTTAAGCTTTCTAAAAATAAGCAGCGTTTCCAGGCCTTGGTACATTCTTGCAAATTTTGTCCATGCTTTACACACACACACACACACACACACACACACACTGTAAGTGGCTATTACTTTTTGTGCTGTATAAAATTTCTTTTCACTTGACTCTGCTTTGGACATATTTTCATGTCAGTTCATGGAGATCTACCATGTGAGAGGACTCACACATGACTCATCAGACACGTATTTGTGGTCAGACTCAATAGCACACCATGATTCCAAGGATTTGCTGAACTCCACTTTCTCCCCACCACCACAGGCCAGAAGGGGTGAAATTCACCAGCTCTTGGGAAATAACCCACTCTTCCCTGAGACCATCCGTGCTCACTGCCCACAACCCACAACCTGTCCTACACAGCAGAGCTGTTGGCGATCCCCACCATGCTGGCCAACCCCACCCACTTAGCCCAAAAGGTGATTTCCTGGGCGGATCTAGTTTACCAACTGGACACTATCCTCACGGGAAAAGTCTGAGTTCTAGGGAAGAAATTCATTTACTGCAAAATATGCACAGAAAAACTACATAATCAAAATGAATACGTGTTTCATTAAATGCCTACAAAGGAAACCATTATGTCAACTTCATTAATTGGTAAATTTAGTATTTATAATAACTTGATTACATTTGAAAAATGAAAGTAGTTTGCCCATTTGCAAGAATTCTTGAGGAATGCATGAAGATTGCCAAGAAATAATGTGCATTCCTCATATCCTTATTATTTTTAAAAGCAAAATTATTAAAGGGGCACCTGGCTGGCTCAGCTTGTAGAGCATGCAACTCTTGATCTAGGGGGTTGCAAGTTTAAGCCTCACATTGGGCATACAGATTACTCTAAAAAAAAAAAAGACTTGATTAAAAGCAAAATTATTAAAACCATTTAAAAATATTTTGCAGGGGACGGCTGGGTGGCTAAATGATTGAGTGTCTGCCTTTGGCTAAGGGCGTTATCCCAGGATTCTGGGATGGAGTCTCACAGGGGGCTCCAAGTAGGGAGCCTGCTTCTCCTTCTGCCTATGTCTCTGCCTCTCTCTCTGTGTCTCTCATGAATAAATAAATAAAAATTCTAAATAAAAATAAAATCTTTAAAAAATAAATGAAAAATCTAAAAAGAAATCTTTTTCTTTTTCTTTTCTTTCTTTCTTTTTTTTTTTTTTGCAGTAGGGGTTCCTCGGTGGCTCTATCAGTAGAGGATGCAACTCTTGATCTCATGGTTGTATGTTCAAGCCCCACATTGCGTGCAGAGATTACTTAAAAATAAATTCTTAAAAAAATATATATATTGCAAGAAAAATACATATAGACACATGTATATGAATATGTGTGTGCGTATACATAAATATATAATAGTGAGGACTGTGCTTAACATTTTGATGTACTACTACTGGGCCAGAGTCTTTAAGAGTAAGAAAGCCTAGGGCTGCACAGGACCCCAAGAAGCCATGTGCTCAGCCAGGATTACCTTCTGCAAGCATGCAGTAGGAGTTGTGCTGAGCCAAAAGGAAGTTCTTCTTGAACAATTTCTAAAAATAGTTCCTAGCATAAGGGCAGGATATTAGTGGTCTGGAACTAGGAGAATCAGAGGCAGAATTTAGAGAGCTGACAAAAAATGGAAACCTATAGCCTAAAAGGTGTCTTCAGAGCTCACATGGCCCTCTAGAAAAATATAAAATGCTATCATTAGAGCCAATGCATTTATTGGCCTAGTTCCTCACTGAAATGCAAGTAACCTCAGAAGTTAAAATGCTTGTTTTCTCTTCCTTAAAAAAAAAAAAGTGTAACATTTATAATAAAGAGCACACATCTTAAAAGTATGGTCAAATGATCTTTAACCCCCGGGTTAGCACCACTCAGATCAGTACATGAAATATTTCCATCGCCCCAGAAGGTTCCCTCTGCTTTCTCCCAGGTGAAATCCTCCTCCAAGGTAACTGCCATTCTGATTTCAGTCACCAGATTGGTTTTGCCTGTTTTTGAACCTCATATAAATGGAATCGTACAGGAGTTATTCTCTTGTGTCTCGTGTCTTTCTCAATATGGCATCTGTGAGACTTATCCCTGTTGCTGAGAGTAAGAGTAGCCTTTTTGGGTGTTACAATAATGGATTTGCATATGGCCAGACATGTCTATTATTGCTGGTCCCACAGTCTTCTTCTGCATCCTGCAATCATCATCTCTCACCTTGCATCACAACACACAGTTGTAGAGATGGACAAGTAAACATTATAATTTTTTACAATTTAAATGTGATTTTTTCCCCCTAGGTACAAAACTTATATATGCTCATTGGAGAAGAGGAAGAAGAAGGAGGAGGAGGAAGAGGAAGAAGATGAGGATGATGAAAGAGGGAAGGAAGGAAGGAAGGAAGGAAGGAAGAAAGAAAGGAAGGAAGAAAAAGAAAGGAAGGATGAAAGAGAAGGAAAGAAGGAAAAGAAATTCTAGCTTTGAGAATCTTGGATGGCTCATCCAGATACTGCCAATCCCTGGGCTGGTCAGTGGCCTTTGACCTGTGTAGCCTGGCTCAGAAAAATGAATGAGATCAGTCACATTCTCCCTCTCAGGAATGTGGCCTCTAAAACTCAGAGGGAAGTAGGACTTGTGAAGAAACTGGTCCCATTTGGACTGTATGGTGCTGTCCAGACCCTTGTCTAGGATGGCAGCACCTATGGTCCCCAGCTGCAGCCTTCATGTCGCACATGAGGACAACTCTGAGACCAACACAATTCCAAAGCTCCTCGCAGGGCTGGCTGAAGACTTTGTTGAGGCTGCTCTGCTGCTCAATTTCTCCCCCTACCCACTCCTCCTTCTCCCTTCGCCCCCACACTCCCATGGACATTAGCCCCAGGGCCCACCATGATAAGCTTTCTGCTCACTAATCTTCACCTCAGAGTCTGTTTCTAGGGGGACCAACCTGCCACAGGGTAGGAAGAAAGGATGATGCGTGGAATCATGTGTGTCTGGCACAGGCCCCTGACTCCCTAGACATTCCCGCCTCTGCACTTTTGCCTATACTGACCCTGGCTGCTGAGGCCGGGCTCACATAGCTGGTCTTCTACAAAGTCATTTGAGAACACCCAAGTCAAAAGCATTTTGTTTGTATGCTGATGATAACATTTGCTATTAGCTGCCTTGTGTTAAGGGTCAACTAGGTTAACTAGCTACAATGCTTCTTTAGTTTAAAAAAAAAAAAAAAAGGCACCTGGGAGGCTCAGTGGTTGAGCATCTGCCTTCAGCTCAGGTCATGATCCTAGGGTCCTGAGATCGAGTTCCGTATCAGGCTCCCTGCGAGGAGCCTGATTCTCCCTCTGCCTATGTCTCTGCCTCTCTCTGTGTGTCTCTCATGAATAAATAAATAAAGGCTTAAGAAAAAAAAGAGTTGCATGTCCTCATGACTTAGTATCTTATACAGATTATCTCCTATGTCTCCAAACTTAGCACCAAGACTTACCATTCCTTCAGATGAGTCAGTAGAGGGGAGGGTTAATTTATTGGCTTAGGTTTGGGAAAATGCACAAAAGGGATATGTGTTACCTGTTTGTCCTCTGCCCCAAGATGAACAACTGAAGAAAGCAGGTCTAAGTGGGAACCTCGTGCAAAGTCCACCCAGAGGATCCCCACACCTCCACCCTTTCCTGGAGTGGAGGAAGGGGCCTGAGTGGGTTTCCCTGGAGACCATCCCATAGCACAGCACTAGGGGTATTCTCAGGGCCAGAGGCAATGGTTCTCCCACCTCCCAGGGGAGAGGCTGGGGCTCGAGGGCTCCCACGTACTGTCTCCACTGACACGTGTGACCAGGTCAGTGTTAGGTGCCATGGAAAGCTCTCCTGGGAGCAGAGAGGGAAAGCAACAGCCCCTGACAGGCCCCTTCTCAGCGGCTCCTAGGCCTACACCTCCTGGCTCCCCACCCACCAGATGCACAGCTGTCCTCTCGCTGGCCCAGCCTGGGGAGCCAAGGGGAGTCTCCCGTGCCTCAGGATCCACCACCCATCTGTGTGCCCCAGGCCTGGGGATAGCATAAGGCAGCCCAGCGGGGAGGCCAGAGAGCTAAGTTCTTAGCTACCCTGAGTCCTGGGAGTGGAGGACACTGGGCAGAGTGAAGCCCTGCGGGCAGTCAGCTCATAGCCTCTCTGTTGAAGTTGAAAAGGAAAAAAATCTGTTCTGTGGTTGGGGCAGCTTGTGCCCCGAGCGTGCCATCTGCTGCGCCTCCTGGCTTAGAGGAAGAGGCCAGGTTCTGGGAAATGGCTCTGGAACAGGCCTTAGGGCCCTAGAATAAACCCATCTGGGCCACCCAGTCCCTGGTTCTGCTACAGGCCCCACCCATTCTTTTCTCCTCTTCCAAGTCTTGGAAGCTTCCCTGGAAGCCAAACCTTTCTCTAGTATCCCTCCTCCTGCCACCTCCCTCTCAGCATCTCCTGGAGCCAAGGCCTAGCCCCACACATCTGATGCCAAGTAACACCAGAGCATGACAGGGACAGAAGGGGCGGCCCCTCCCGCTCCCCATCTCCATTTACCATTTCATAGAGCGGGAGCTGAGGCTGGGGCAGGAAAGGGCTGCCCAGGTCACAGGTCTGGCCCAGAGCCCAGGAGCCCGGCCCAGAGTCCAGGAGCCTGCCTCTTCACCACATGGGCTGCTTTGCCCTGCTTTGGGTCCAGACTTGATATTCACAGGTCAAGAGTCCAGCAGATCCCCAGGAACAGCAAAATTCACAGGGATTGGAAGCCCCCAACTCAACCCAAAGCAAAGCGGAGGTGTCAACAGCTAGAAGGGAGGGATTATGGTTATAGTGCTGCCTCCCACCAGCAGTCACCACAGTGTCCCCAGAGCACTCCCTGCAACAGACACCACTATAGCCAACAAGGCACCTGCCTTGAAGCAAACCACCTGAAGCTCCTCAGGCTTCCCAGAGGGAGGGGTTGGTCTGGATGGGTGGCTGAGAGGAACCTGGTCTTTCCACCCAGAGCCTGGGAAGAAAGGCTCCAATCCCAGCTGGATGACTTGGGACAAGTTATGTAACCTCCCTTAGCCTCATCTTCACCATCTATAAAAAGAGAGCAATAGAAATTTCTATACACTTTACTGGGATGTTGTAAGGACCTGACAAGATAGTAACTAGAAAGTGTTTAGCAGGGCACATAGGGAGCACTTGATAAACAGATCACACTAGGGGATGATAGATGATGTTGGTATGACTATACGAAACCTTTTACCCCTATAATTCTGGACACCACATTAGTGCAGGGGGTAAAGGAGCTTTAGGGGGCCAAGGGAGAGTAGGAGCCCCCCTGCCCCCAGAGAGACCCAGAGGCAGCAAAAGGGCAGAACTGAGGGCAGCATGTGTCCCCAGCAAGCCCCCCCCCCCTAACATTCCTGTTCGGACTTTACAGGGGGTGGCCAGTTAGTTCCTGGAATGTCCAAGAAAAACAAACTGGTTATTCTGAGTGAAATTGCAGCCTGGCTAAGGCAGACTGGGTCTGCTTTAAATTAAACATAGCATTTCTGAGATTCTTTTCCTCTCCTGGCCACTGTGGGTTAGTAGAGACATTACCTCACCTCACCTTCCTGTTCTGAGGTGGGGAAGCTAACATAGTGTGAGCCTGAGAGCCCCACCCTGGGCTCCTGGGGGGTTGCTGGAGGTGAGCAGGCGCTCCTTCTCTAACAACACCGTCTACCTCTGGGGCTGGGGTACTGGATATTTGGGGATGCAGGTGTGTATGTATGGGGGGGGGGCTGCTCCTCTGTGTAGTCAACCCTGCCCTTGGTATTTAGCTAAGAAATACCAGCATTTGCAAATGCATTGCCTTCCTAGGAGTTCTTGAAAAAACAAAACAAAACAAAAAACTTGGCTGTAGTTTTACAAGTCCAGGGTTGGTCCCTTTCTTGACCCTGTCTAACAGTTAGGTGCTGGGTGGCCGTGCCTGCCGGCTCCTCAGCAAGAACCCCAGCGTGCTTTAGCTGGCCAGCCGAGACAGTGAGGCTAGTTTCCCCACAGAGGCGCTTTGGTCAAGGGTGGAATTCTCTTCTGGTGATGGAAATCGCTTTCAGCCAGCTTTGCTAGCTTGCAGAGTCCTAGGAAATACCCAGTGTCAGAGTCAGGCCACCCCAAGTGTGAGTCCCAGCTCCGTCGATGAAGATTATCTAATCTTTCTGGAACCTTCAATAGTCATCACATCTTTAAAATGGCGGTTGTTAGGGCCCCTGTGTGGCTCAGTGGCTGAGCGTCTGCCTTTGGCTCAGGTTGTGATCCCAGGGTCTTGGGATCGAGTCCTGCATCAGGCTCCCCGCTTCTCTCTCTGCCTGTGTCTCTGCCTCTCTCTGTGTGTGTCTCTCATGAATAAATAAATAAAACCTTAAAAAAATAAAATAAAATAATAAAATAAAATAAAATGGGTGTTGCTATGTGGATGACATGAAATGAAGTGTGCTCCAGGTGCTTTTGACTGAAATGAAGTATATCCAAGGTTCTTTGGTTGTAAGAAATTGAAACTTCCTCAAGCTGTCTCCTGTAAAAGGGAAATTGCCTGGAATCAAGGGACTTCTCACAAGAACAGGCCACCAGGCCTCTCCAGAGAACTGGAAGCAGGAACCCGAAAGGGGGCTTGCAGTCTCCCTCCTCCTGCTCCGCCTCCCCCCTGTCCTGGGGTGCCTGCTTCTCCCTGGGCCCGGGCGCTGGGCTCCTGTCCCCTAGGACCCGCTTTCTCTTTCCAGGATACTCGAAGGCCCGCTTCAGCTTGACATCATTTCCTCCCGCGGGGCACAGTTAGTGCTCCGTAAATGACTGCGGGGTTTCTAGCGCGTTGCTTCTCGTTCTGTGCATCAGCACTAGCGTGCGGGATGCTCGGCGCATCCCTCCAGGTCTGCTCCTCTTTCTCCTCTGCGCCCCGTCCCTGGTCCCTGGGGGCTGAGCTGCAGGAATTGTCTCAGTGGAGCTTCGCCTTCTGGGTCGGGGGGGGGGGGGGGGTTGAGCTGAGCCCACTGTGGGCACCAGCAGGAAACAGGAGGGCGGAGGAAAGCAGCAGGGCGTGTATTGTTCTAGGCCCTGGCCTGTGGGGGGATATGTGGCTGGTTCTGGAACGGAAGGCCACAGCAGCCCCCCTTCAGCCACATCCTGGCTGGGTTCTCAAATCACTTCCCCCCCTTATCCCTTCAAGCATCAGCGCTGATGGCTCTCCATGGTTAGATCCTGGAGGTGGGGCGCCATCCTCTGCTGGTTGCCTTCCATCCTCCACACGTCTTTATAAATAGTCCATTCATTATGTTCTCTTGGTAACAGGCACCGAAGGGTAACACTGAGTTACCACCTCTCTCCTGCTGGGATTCATACCATAAGGTGGGAGGCAAGGACAGCTTTGTCTCCTTCCTTGCCCACCTCCCACTCTGGCTCCTGTAGAAAGCAGATGAAGAGCTAGAACTCTTTGAGATAAACATTATACATAAGATGCCCAGAGCTGAGAAGATGGTCAGAATTCCGCTAGAAGTAAAAAGTAATACATGCGCAATGAGAAGAAATACTTCTTTGATAAGAAACTCTCCATTTTCTTGGGAGAATGTGACCCACATAAAAGAGTTAGAAATTTGCTACCAATTCAGTTACGGCCTCTCTGTCTTGGGACACAGATACCTAAAACTGAGCATCATACAGGTTGTGAGCAGAGGGTGTTTTTGAATTGTCAACTTCTCCGCATTTTTCACTCCCGGATTCATTGGATTCGTCTCCAGAATTTGTCTTTTCTTTTCCTCTTCCAATTTGGCTTATGTGCATTTCACTTTGGGCTTTGACCATGAGCTATTAGCTTATGACAGACATCCCTGGTTCTGGTCTCTTACTAGGCTTGTTCCACAGCTCACTGTCAAATTTCTGGAAGGCTTTCCCTGGAAGAGAGTATGTATTTCATGCTAAGCCCTGAAGAATGAACAAATTCTTCTCACCAGGTGAAGGGCTGGGGAGATGGAAAGTGCACAGAACAAACCTAGAGGAAAGAAAGAGTTGGTAACACAGGCCTGGGAAAGTTAGTGTGGCCACGGGAGGGCAGACAGTGAGGACCACAACATGAATCAGGTCAGAGGGAGAGAGGTATAGAGGTCAGATCATGCAGGGAGCCCACCGTAGACGGCACATAACGGGCAGTAGCAGAGGTAAAAAGATTCAAGTTTACCGCTCAATAAACATTCAATGACTTTGTTGGGGAGGAAGAGCCTCATAGAGAGTGAACCACCTAGAATTCTTCTATGGAATTAGGGCTGGTCACAGGGTGAGTTTGAGGGGGGACTGGCCACTTCCCCGGGTACTATGGAGGACACTGGGCCCTCAGCAGGGAGGCCACTTTCCGCAGAGCACAGGAGTGCCCAGTATGTCCTCACCTTTCTGTGACTCCACTCCCAGGGCTCAATGGCCTTCTTGGCTGGACTAGTGGGACCTCTAGGAAGAAGGTGGGGATGGTGGGCGTGATCACCATGGTGGGGAAATGGAAAGACCAGTGCCTTCCGGGTGGTTCTCCTAGGAAGGCCTGCCAGGGACCCAGAAAATGTCCACAGGCTTTATCCAACCTTGGGAAACTCAGTGGGGACGAGGCCTGGTTGAGTGCTGGGCCCTGAGCAGGGCTGGGCCCAGAGTGGGGCTGGGCTCTGCTGCTTTCTGTCCCCGCAGTCATTATGTGAGACAGTGTCCATGGGGGAGGAGACAAAGCCCCAAGTGAACCAGCTGCAGGAAGTCCTTAATCTGTTCTCAAGGCTGCAGGCTCAAACTGCCAACTCTGCTGTCCTGTGTAGCCTGAACACCCTTCCCACTCTGGCTTCCCTCCCTCGGGCAGTGCTCCCACCCTCCACTGTAGGCAAACAGGGATGCACTGGCCGAAACCCACCCACACTACCCTAGGCCTGCTCACCTGCCCTCCCCACACAACCAGACATGGTCACAGCCTCTGGCCCTCCCAACACACAGCTGGTCCCAAGGGTCCTGCCACTGACAGGGGCCACAAGCTCCTCATGAGCAGGAGCACATGTCACAAGGCCAGGCATGATGCCCAGTGGGGAGAGGCCACAGCAAGTCCAGAGCAGGAGTGGGGCCAGGGCAGGATGTCCATCTACAGCAGTCTACAAGGGGGCTCAGCCACAGGGCACACAGCCAGGCGGGCAGAAGCAGTGTGGCTGAGCATAGAAACAGGGGCGACTGGCAGGGGAAGAAGCAGGCCCAGGCATATACATGCAGACACACACTCACATTCTTTTTTTAAGATTTTATTTATTTATTCATGAGTGACACAGACTGAGAGAGGAAGGCAAAGACACAGGCAGAAAGAGAAGCAGGCTCCATGCAGGGAGCCCAATCTGGGACTCCATCCCAGGACCCCAGGATCATGCCCTGAGCCAAAGGCAGACGCCTAACCACTGAGCCACCCAGGTGTCCCACACCCTCATATTTTCATGAGCTGCATTTTAACAGGAGCACTTGAGGCTCGAATATTTTCCCCCTTTCACCACAGCACCTCTCCCCATCACACACACACCCACGCAGGCTCTCAAGCTTCCTGCATCATGGCACCAGTAAACATGAGCCCCTCGCACCTCCTATCAGAAGGCAGGCTGGGCTCTCCCTTGCTACCAGGCCTGGAGGCTACAGAACCAGTCCGCTTCTCAAAGAGACAACAGCCAGGCAGCCCTGGGGTGAGGGTGGGGGTGCAGGGGTGGCAGGGCAGTGGGAAGAGCAAAGGTCTCCGTGGCTTGAGAGGACAGTGTCAGCAAGAGCCACCTGTGATCCTGACAGACATAGTCCAGGCATCTGTGTAGAGTCAGAAAGACAAATGTAGCATCTCCAGCCCAGGGGACAAGAGAGAAGGGTGAATGCCTTGAAGATTTCCAGCCACCAGCCCTACTTTACAGGTTCTGTGAAGCTTCAGGGAAATCATCCACCTGAAATGTGCTTTGAGACCATTACTCACTTGTTGATTCATTCATTGAAAACGTGTCAAGGGGCTAATCTGTGTCAAGAATCATGCTGGAGCCAACAGAGAGGCTGGCAGAGATGAGCTCATAAAACATGAAAAAGAAGAAAATATCTGGTATGTGAGCCACCCCAATCTCTCTAAGTCCAAGGCAGACATACTGATAAAGCATAGCATTTTTTTTCTGGGCAGGAGAAGGAGTCTGGGCAGGACTTGAGAATTCTTATCAACAGCTCTCCAGGCAGTCACTCCTAGTTAAACATAATGGACCAAATGTTTGTGTGTCCACCCCCTCCCACCCCCCGCACACCAAATTCAAATGTTAAAGCCCTAATTTCCAATGTGGCTGTATTTGAAATGGGGCCTCTAAGGAAATAATCACAGTTAAATGCAGTCATAAGGTTGGGACCCTGATCAAATAGGATGAGGGTCCTTAATCCCAGAGAGCTCACCCTCTCTCTCTCTGGCACACACATCATGTAAGCATGTGGTAAGATGGCAGCCACCTACAAGCCAAGAAAAGAAGCCTCAGAATGAAACCCACCTTGCCAGCATCTTGATCTTGGATTCCAGCCTCCAGAACTGTGAGAACTGTGCCCTGTCCAGTCTGTAGTTTTGTATGATGGCAGCCTGAGCAGACTAAGACTTTTGAGTTAACATGAAGGACGAAGTTCGTCAGTGCTGGGGCAAAGGCATGGAGGTGTTAACAGGCATAGCTTGCATCAGAAACAGGGAGCAGCATGGGAGGCCCAGGACCTGTGGTATTTAGAGAGGGAAGTGGAGAGAGGTGGGATTAGAGAGTAAAGCAGCTGCCATACCACGTACACATGTGTAGGCCAAGTCAGGGCCTTGGGACTTACCCTAACAGCACTGGGGAATGACTTTCAGATCTGCATTTAGAAAGATCGACCTGACAGCTGTGTTCAGGCTTGTGTGGGGCAGGTGGGGTGGGGAGGTGAGAGATCAGTAGCAGGGTGCCCCAAAGATCAATCCTGGGGTGGATATGGGCCACTAGAGGGGAATGGCCTGGTTGCAGATGAGAAGAAGAGGTAAGGCGACTCTCCCATCTCTGTCCTGGATGGTGGATTGGAAGGATGGTGCTGGCTTTGACAGGAATGTGATCTCCAGTAGAGAGGGCAATTTTTCAGCCTGGACATACCTCAGGTTCCAAGCAGAGCAGAAGTCCCTGAACCTCACTTCAATCACATTCTATTGGTCAAAGCGAGGCACCAGGCAGCCCAGATTCAATGTAGCAGGGGACTACCTGACGGTGTGAATATAGGGAAGCGTGAATCACTGGGGCTACTTTGTCATAATCCACCACCATGTTCAAGTAACAGGCAGGAAGCAAGAGGAAGAGCAAGGCCAGATGCACTTTCCACTTGGGCCTTTCACCTTGGACAAGTGACTCTGTAGCCTGGGGACTTCCTCTGAGCCTGAGATCGACCTGGGTCATGTGACTACCCTCAGCTGCAAGGAATTCTGGGAACCTGAATATTTTAACCTGAGCACATTGCAATCTCCTACAAAACCTGGATTTTTAGTAAGAAAGAAGGGAAAAATTGCTCTTGAGGGGTCATGAAAGTTGACTAGCAGAGTGTTCTGTAGAAGCCTTGGAGGGGTGAAGGGGAAATAATGGCCACTGAGAACCTCTATGGTAGAGAAACCCTACTCAGCATTGAGCTGAGGTAACACAGGTCACCTCAGAAGAAAATGGAGGATCTGGTTTTGTCAGGTCAGGGGTGGGGCCCAAATGTGCATCTCTAATAAATGTCCCAGGGATGCAGAGGCTGTGCTCAGAAAACCACATTTGAATGGTCCAGAACCAGAGGACACTGAGGAAGAAAGCAACCCCCAAATTTCCGAGAGTTAAATGGCAAAGTCTTGTTTCTTACTCATGCCATGTGTCCAATGTGCATTGCTGGGGCTTTGCTGTGCTGGTGACCAGGCCAGAGGGAAAGATATCGTGGCAAAGTACCAACTGGCTTTGAGAGGCGTTCAGGTTGAATTCAGGTGGGGAGGAGAAGCTGTATTGGAGAAGGATGCTGCAGATTCCCACAGGCTTCACTGAAGAGGTGAGATTTGACCTGATTAGGCTCCGAGGGATGAACTGTCTAGGGAGAAGGTAGGGAGAATTTTTCAGGCTGAGGAAATGCCATAAGTTAACTACCATTGATTGAACACATGTTATGTGCACAGAAGTTTTCAGATTATTTCCTCCTTGGCCCTCACAAGAATCTGAGATAGTTTTAATCTTTTAATAAACGGGGAGACTGCAGGTCTGACATCAGCTGAGCTGCTTGCGGAAGGTCACAGGGCCAGAGAGTAGGAGCCCAGGAAATGAAACCCAATGTCTGGGGCTTTCTCTCTTATGCCACAGTGGACAAGTGGAGGCATGTGGCTGTGGAGGATGTTTGCAGCATGGTCTGTATGCCACCATTTCCCTGGAAATGGTCCCAATAGTTAGAGGATGAGTTTTGTTTTTGTTTTTTGAGGAGGGATCATGAACAGATTGCAATTTTTATTATGGTAAAATATACATAACATAAAGCTTATCGTTTTAGCCATTTGTAAGTACACGACATTACGTACATTCACATTGTCATGCAACCATTGCCACCATCCATCTCCAGGACTTTTGCATCTTGCTAAACTGAAACTGCTCCCATTGGATACTAACTCTGCATTCTCCCTCCCTCCCAGGCCCTGGAAGCTACCATTCTACTTTCTGTTTCTATGAATCTGAAGACTCAGAGAACTTGTGTGTCTGGCTTATCTCACCTAGCACGATGCTTCAGTGTTCATCCATGTGATAGTATTATTGAAATGTTATTCCTTTATATGGCTGAATAATATTCATTGTATGTATGTACCCCATTTTTATCCATTCACCCACTGATGGATGTTGGGTTGTTTTCACCTTTTGGGCATTGTGAAGAACGCTGCTAATGCACACGGATGTGCAAATAACTCTTCGAATTCTTTTGTGTAGTACCCAGAAGTGGGACAGCTGGATCCAGAAGAATTTTTCACATTAAGGACTTTATATGTGTGGGAGGTGCTGGCGAGGCTTTGTTGGGGTCCAGAGAAAATGCTGCACACCAGCAGGTAGGAAGATGCCAAGCCCCACCAGACAACCCCAGCCCCCTCATGGCACCCCCACTGGGTGTCCTAGTTAGGCCTGCTGTGCGGGGAGGAGGAGCCTCGAGCCACACAGCCAGGCACAGTGGCTCTCTGCCTTGTTATTTAACTATCTCGAAAGCACAGAAGAGATCTTGCCCCCTAAGGAGTCTGGAAGCTCTGGAGGGAAATGAGCCATTAACCCCTCTGAGTCTCCCTTTCTTTCATCTATCAAACCAGGAGGTCCCAAAGAACACAGGAATGTGAGAGCCACGAAGTTGTCACTGCCTGCTGTAGATGGTCACTCCCTGTCCAGGCTGCCCTCCAGGCTCCTCTCCTGGTGGGTCAAACAGAGCTCTGCAGGGGCAATGTTGGGGAAGACAGAGGGGCCTCTGGGGCCATTTCAATAAGGCCAGAAGAGCCCTGGGGCTGAGAGAGCCAAAAAGAGGACAGCAGAGGTAAAGACACTCCCTGGTGACAGTTCCAGGGCAGTGGTTCTCCGTTCTCAAACTGGAGCAGGACGGAGAAGCCTCGGTGGGTTCGTTGAGACAGAGGTGGGCCCAGCCCGAGTTTCAGATTCAGGAAGTCTAGGGTGGGACCCGAGAATCTGAATCTCTGCAAGGGCTTGGGCACACTGATACTGCTGCTCTGGGACCTCACTTTGAGAACCACCGCTCTAGAAAATGGAGGAGAGAAAGCTGCTCATTTTGAGAACCGTAGACACGCGAATCCCTCCATCCCTCCCACGCGTTTCCCTGTCTTCCTCCCTCCCTTTCTGGTTTCCTTCCTTCCTGGTCCCACATTTCATATTAGAGCGCAGAAGCTGGGCTGGGCTGGGCTGACCAGATGGCTGTTGGCTGCCACGGGCCCCAGGCCTGTGGTGTGACCGGATGTGGAGGAGTCAGAGTGAGTCAGATGGCAGCAGAGGGAAAACACCATGTTCCAGGCCAGGCGGCCAGGGCGGCCCTCCAGGCTCTGTGAGAGGGCAGGGCACCGTGCAAAGCCGGGACAGCCCTCCCCTGGGGTCGGGTGGGCCCCGGGCAGCAGGACACCGCTGGAGCAGCTGGTGGGTGGGACAGGCAGCCCAGAGAGCCCGCCCCCAAGGCGCTCACCCAGGCCAGGCCTGCAGAGGCAGGGCTGGAAAGCCGGCCGGAAGCGAGTGAGTGGGGCCAAAGTCCTGTGAGTGGGGGCCGAAGTCCTGCGCACACTGGGAGCAGCCAGCCCTTGGCCCTTCCATGGTCAAGTGGTCAAATCTCCCCTTTGAATGCTCCAACATCCTTGTGTGCCACCTGTGACCATGGTGAACCCTGCAGTCTCCCTGCCATGGGGCTTTTCCACCAGACTGCTGTGGACCTTCCCACCCCTCCCTGACCCGGCTCTCATTCCTCAGGGCCCCTGTTGCTATTTTCTTTTTTTTTAAATAAATTTTTTTTTTATTGGTGTTCAATTTACCAACATACAGAATAACACCCAGTGCTCATCCCGTCAAGTGTCCCCCTCAGTGCCCGTCACCCATTCACCCCCACCCCCCGCCCTCCTCCCCTTCCACCACCCCTAGTTCGTTTCCCAGAGTTAGGAGTCTTTATGTTCTGTCTCCCTTTCTGATATTTCCCACACATTTCTTCTCCCTTCCCTTATATTCCCTGTTGCTATTTTCAAGAGGATCGCTAACCTGCTTGATCAGTGGAATGTGAGACCTGACAGCAGAACTGGATGAAAATGCCAGGAAGCACACGGTACAAAGGGGCAGCTCTAAGAGGGACACCAGTCCCGGGGAATCTTCACTGGGATTTGATCTGACTCTAGGGCACTGCTTTCGAATCCTCCAAATCTATTTCTTCAACCGTGAAATGGGGCCAATGGGACGTGCATCACAGGACTGAGGGATTATAGGAGGTAATATCACAGAAGTCCTTCGTAAGTGCTACCAGTCTGGAGTCAGCCAGTTCTGAGAGTCTTCGTGGTAAAGCATGACAGGCCAGGCCCTCACCACAACTCAACCTCTTCAAAATTTACCTCCATTTTTCTTTGGGCCATCAATTGGGGTTCTTAGTCCTTTAAGGTGGCTGCTTGTCATTTATTTGTTCTAGTTTCATCTCTTGTGAGTTGCCAGCTCCCCATCTAGGATCCCCTGCTCCCAGCAGTTGCATCTGTACCTCCTGGAGGCAAACCTGAGAAGCACCCCTTGGCCTAGGGTGGCATTTGGTGCTGTCACGTCTACCTGCCATACCCCACATAGGCAGCGTCTGATGTGAAAAGCCCTTCCTCAAGATCCAAGCAGAGGGGGTGGGCACAGCGAGGAGGTTGGACCCCAGACTCTGGGGCCAGGAGTGCAGCTTCAAATCCTTGTTCCTCTGCTTGTTGGCTGCATCCATGGACGAGTTACCATGAAAGGAGCTAACTGCACTCTCATGGGGCTGTCAGGGGCTTTGGTGAATGAAGCACGTAAAGGAGTGGGTGAAGTCTGTGCCTGCAAAGGAGCTGAGATGCTATGCAGGAGCACAGGGCTCTGTGCTCTGCTCCTGGCTTTTGCTTTCTTCAGTGACCACGGTCCCTCTAGCACTGTGGCGACTGTCACAGGTGTAATGTGCTTGTCAGTCCCTTTCTCTTTTTCTTTTTTTAAAATATTTTATTTATTTATTCATTAAAGAGAGGCATAGACATAGGCTCCCTGTAGGGAGCCTGATGTAGGACTCGATGCCAGGACCCCAGGGTCACGACCTGAGCCAAAGGCAGACTCCAACCAGAGTCACCCAGGTGTCCCATTCCCTTTTTCAATCTATGTACCTCAGAAGATGCTCCAGCTCCCCCAACTAACATCTAGAGGTGAGCATGGCCCAACGCAGCCTGCAGCTAACCCCCTTAACCACACTGTGGGCTCTGCACTAGACTCTTGGCCTGTATTATCTCATTCATTTAATTTGGGGGGAGGGAATATTTCATGCAGATGACAAAAAGTTATCTCTATAATACATAAGAGTTCTTTAGAATCGACGGTGAAGGTCAATAGAAATAAACCAATAGAAAAATGGGCAAAGGATACAAGTCGACAATTCTTAAAAGTGCAGATTAGAATAACCAACAAATGTGAAAAGCAGCTCAGAATTGTTAATAGAGAATTGCAAATTAAAGTAGCAATGAGATGTCATTAATTACCTATCAGAATGACTAAAATTTAAATGATTCCCTTTTGTTAAAGAAACATCAACCCCTCCATACAGGTGTTTGTGGCAGTATTTCTCAACTTCGCTACCACTGATATTTGGGCCCAGATAATTCTTTATCACAGGGGGCTGTCCTGTATGTTGTAGGCTGTCTGGTAGCATCCCAGCCACTACGCACTAAATGACAGTTGCATCCTCCACTTCCATTTCGACAAATATGTCTCCAGACATTGTCAAATGTCCAAGGGGCAAACTGTCTCCAGTTGAGACCCACTTGGTATATAGGCAAACATTTATAGCTCTATAGGATTTTACGAACATTAATTTAATCCCATTTTACAGATAGGGAAACTGAGGTGCAGGGAAGCCTAGTAACCTCTCAGGTTTACACTGTCAGTTTAAGGACTTGTGATTTGAGGAGTAGTAGTCTGATTTCGGAGCTCGGTTTCTCACTGCAAGTGCAGTCACACTGCTCAGCCACATTCTTGAGGTCGGCCTGGTTGAATGTATGTAGAACTTTCAGGTTCATGTTTCTAGGCAAGAATCATGGGTTAGGGAGCATTTTTACTGTGGTCCAGCTGAGGCCTGTGGTGTCTGATACTGTCACCTATGAGGCCACAGCCCCAGAGCTGAAGTGAGCCCTTAGACAACAAAGCTGGGCAGCCAGTCCATAAAACAGGGCCAGTGGATCTGAATAAGGCTGACCACAACTTGCAAGGAAAGACCTACGACAAGCAGCACTATGCTTGACCCATGCAGTAGCCCCTCCTATATTCAGGGGGTGAGGGGTGCGAGAGGG